TGGCCATGCCGGGCCTTACGGCTAAGCAGAAGCTTCCTAACTAGTATGAAGTAAAATTATCTAATCCTTCATGTGTTCTTTGAAACTAAAAGTTGATATATTTCTGATTCATTTAGTTATAACATATGACGCTGTTAGTTCTCTAGTACGGTTGGCATTAACTTTAAAAACCGCTCACTAGTTCTAAAGGTATTACGTCATATAGTAACATTTTATCACTAAAATAATAAGTTTATAATATTTATCTTCTTAGACCGAAAACCACATCTCTAAGAGTATTTTACGCCTTATCTGTTGTTGGGACTAGGGTGGTTATTTTAATAATGCTTATAAGAGTCATCTTCAAAGGGTAACATCAAGAAACTAAATCACTTTTAATGATATCATCAATGATCTCCTGCTATTCTAGAATTCATCTGTGTAGTAGTAGTAGTTTTGAACAGTGTTCTTATTGAAAGGAATTATCTTTAATAATTTGGCAGTTTTCAAAACATGAAACAGATATTTTGCTGTAAATTAATGTATAACGTGTAATCCAAAATAAAAATAAATTGTGTTCCCATACTTTTCTATGCCTAAAATTCAAGCGACACAATGTGACTCATTCCTTGGGCCAGGTGGTTAGGGGGCGCTCGACTCGCAATCAGAGGGTCGCGGGTTCGAATCCCCGTCACACCAAACATGCTCGCCCTTTCAGCCGTGGGGGCGTTATAAGTGACGGTCAATCCCATTATTCGTTGGTAAACGAGTAGCCCAAGAGTTGGCGGTGGGTAGTGATGACTAGCTGCCTTCCCTCTAGTCTTACACTGCTAAATTAGGGACGGTTAGCGCAGATAGCCCTCGTGTAGCTTTGCGCGAAATTCAAAAGAAAAAATAATTTCTTGGAGGTTGTCCCCTCCCAGCTAGTAACTAAGTATTAAAATGTTTGTATTATAATGTCTTTATAAAAGTTGTAACTGAATATGTTTTAAAATTTTGTAACAAACTTACTAATATTGGGCTTTCAGAATTTTGTTCTACCAAGTAGGTTCATGGAACAAAGAATTAAGTAATTTAAATCTATGTTCACTAGAGAAAGCATTACTCTCACGTACAAAAACGAGGCGTTACTTATAAAAACTCATACTGGTACATTCAGCTTTTAAAGCCTAAATAAAGGAATACAAGAATTCTTTATTGTACATCTTGCTATAAAGATGATCTACTGTGTGTGTTACCATCTACCACTCAGAGGTGGCTCGATCGGTTTCCGTCATTTTCGATATGTAACTGGAAACTGTTCAACGGTGTACAAGGTTTTTTTATATAATTCATCTAAAGAACGGTGACAAAAAGCCCCTGAAATAAGAATAATCTCCACTTTTTATAGGCTTGCATTACCCAGAGTTGGCTAGTTCGATTATTATAATTTTTGGTACCTGGAAATTATCCGACAGTGTACATGGGCTATTTTATTTAGGATCTTATGAGCGATAAAAACACCACAGCGAAACCACAGCCAAGGGAACGGGCTTTGAAAAATCAGCGCGACACTATCTATACGTTGCTAGATAGTAGTGGTTTCGCTAGATAGTAAATAGGGACAGTGGGAATCTCGTTAATCCCCGTCACACCAAATATGCTCGCCCTTTCAGCGGTAGGAGCGTTATAATGTGACGGTCAATCCCACTATT